ACACCAAAAGGTAAATCACATTGTCTCCAAGTTTGCATGCAGTCTTGTTTTCCTTTTCTGAACTTTCTGGCTCTGCCTAGCTTGCCATGTCTACTTAGGTCCTCTGTGCTTCTTGATTAGTAATCTATGGGTTGATTCCTCAGTGATTCTGTAAGAACTTGCCATTAAATCCGAGACTTCTGCCTTATATACATAGAACTAGTCATGACCAAGAAAAAAAATGAAATTCAAAGAGCTTAGTAATGCGAAAAACGCGTAATAATAGTCAAGGTGAGAAGCATGAGGTTGTTCAAAATCCAGCCATGGTGACATGCTCCTTGGTGATATGAGAAACTGTTGAAAGAAGGAAAACTGCTTATGAAATTCCAATTCCTAGAGTGATCATGGCATAAGAAGTCCCAAGACTCTTCATGCTTTCAGGTGCTTGATCATAGAAGAACTCGAGCTTTGCCCACTCTAGAAACGCGTCCGCGGTTCCCATAAGCACAAATTGAGGAAGTAGAATGAAAATTGTTAGGGGTACTGGTTTTCCATTTTCGACTAGACCATGGTCCTTGGCCACATTAAGCCTATGCCTCTCAGTTAGGGATGCAATTGTCATGATAACAAATGTGGATGACTATACCAATTCCCATTCTTTGTAGAAGAGTGATGCCTCTTGGGTTTTTGTCCACCTCCTCACTATTCTTACGAAGAATTGGTCGTATAGCACGACGCAGATGAGCATGGAGATCGTTACAAACGCGGTTAGGCTGGCCGGAGGGATTTTGAAGCTCCCAAGATTTCTGTTCAGAAGGGTGCCTTGCTTGACAAAAAGGGTGTTGATTTGAGCAATCATGGTACTGGGAATAAATGTGGCTATCAAGATTGGTATCATTCGGAGCATTTGCTTTGTTTCCTCAACTGGGTGACTGAGCATAACATCCATGGATTGGTTGAACCTGCTTGGACACAAGCTTTGTTGAGGAATCTGCAATAATATTAATGCATGTGTTAGAAGATTATGAAAGGGAAAGCATTTTAGCAATGGGTACATGTTGAGCCCAGGTACCCCTAAGGTCCATCAACTCAGAATGAATCCAATTTTTATCAATACATGACTATTTTGTGTAGAAAATTCTTCACAAATATAATTTCTGACAAGAATTCTCACACAGGACAATATGAGTTGCTTGGTTTAAAGTTGTTTAAACAACCATCTATTCCAAAAGTTTAAGTTGTTAGAGAGGATATAACTTAAGTACTTATATTCAACACATCCCCTCACGTGTATGCTAGATTTTGATAGGGCCGTTAATTGAACCGATGCTAAAAAATTGTTCAAGCTCGACTCGTTTTAAAATAAGTCGAGCCCCAATCGAGCCAAAACTAGGCCGAGCTTTGTGAGCTCGAACTGAGCTTTTATGGCAAGTCTTCTCCGAGTCCAGCCCGAGTAACTCCGTTCAATTATCAGTTACAAATTTTGGGTCTAGCATGTGAAAACTCTTTTAATAATTAGGGTGATGATGAGATTCGAACATAGGACAACAACTCAAACTTTTGGAGTAAGTGATTATTTAACATAGTATCAGCAGAGCAGGAGGACTTGTGTCCAAGTTTCGCCATCACTCTAATTATTAAAAAAAATTTACATGCTAAACCAAAAATGTACGCGATGGGACATGTTGAAGCATAAATACTAGAGTTATATTATCTCTAACAACTTAAATTTTTGAGGATGATTGTTTAACAAAAGAAAATAACAAATCTTATTTGAAAGAATTGAACACAAACCTTAATGTTGGTGTAGAGTCAATCCTAAACTTTCCTCCCTTGGTGTACTCTTCCAAATCAAGTTCATAGAGCTCTTTAGGGTCACTAGGAACAGGTACAGTCCACTTCCTTAGGGCAGCCACTATGACCTTAGCCATCCTTGTGAATGGACTCCCAGAGGGAACCCTATGTCTATAAAACGGTGTTCCAACCAAGAAAATCAGAACCGATATCGCAAGGCCCAAGGTGGGAAGCCCATATCCAAGGGTCCAGCCCACATTGTCTTGTATATACACAAGAATTGTGTTGGCAAATAGTGTCCCAAAGAAGATGCTGAACATCCACCAGTTGAAGAATGAGAGCTTCTGAGCTTTCTCCTTCGGCTCGAAATCGTCAAACTGGTCGGCTCCGATGGTCGAGATGTTCGGCTTCGTCCCACCGGTGCCCACTGCCAAGGTGTAGAGTGCACCATAGAATACTGCTAGTTGTAATGTGGATGCCTTCTTACAATTTTCTACATTTTGATCCACACAGCGAGGGGCCTTTAGTCCAGGGACTGAAACTGCTAGGGTTAGTACAGACATCCCCTGTAAACATGTCAAAATAAACCCAATGGTACATATAGGATGAATGATTGTTTTTGGCTGACAAAAGATAATGACAGTGACTTGCATAGAAAGTAGTATTAGTCTTAACTTTCTTGTTGACGGTTAATCAGTATCAATTCGACAATCATACGATCTATAAATAGTTTAGTTTGGTATAAGAACATGTGATATGATTAATAAATAGATCGGATTATGATTGGCTAATACTCAATGCGAAATTGAGATAATACGATCTAAATACGACACAAATACGAAATTGAGTGTGTGTGTAGGTGAGAGTATGTTGGGTGCATGTGTAGGGGCAGCACTGTGTTATATTAGGATCATGTTATTTCGATTTGTATTTAGTGTTAGTTTATCCTAACCCAATTCATCTAGACAATTGTATCGTATATCTTGGCATTAATCTAACCCGTTTATTTACCATGTCGTATTCAAATTAACACGAGTCCATGCCTTCATGGTTAAAAAACGAGCTTATCATGTCAAAATCAAATTTATTCGTGTTTGACCCAAATACAATTAACCTGTTTATTATACTTGTTAACGGGGATAGTACTATATTCAAGTTTATATGGCGAACTAATTGACATAGGCTCGTTAATTTTGTATCAAAACTCAATCCACTTCTATCCTCTTACTATATTTAAGTTGACTGTAGGCCGACTTGATTCGAGGTACGTACAAGACAAGCAGCTGAATTTGTGGATCATGTCAGTAGACCCTATTAAGTTGGTCCAAGGCCTTGAAAACAATGTTCCACTTGTCCTCTTTATTTAGATTATTATTACTGGTTTATAGCTTAGCTTAGTAGTAATTTTGCATGACCAAGACATCTTCCAGGTCTGCCTTGCAAAAAAAACATAATATTCATTGGTCAAACTTTCATTTTAAACAATGCCCATGGTCTCAAAATTCTAAGAAGATGGGACCCATAAGCATTACTTTGATTTTTGAGAAAATTGATGGATAACTTTTGAGGTTTAGTGAAATTACACTATATCTGCTGAGAGTTTTCAAAAATTATAGAAAATTGTCTAAGGTTTGAGACCAACTTGCATACTTAATAGTTAATACTATAGTTTATGTTGTCCTTTATAGAATTAAATTTGAGAAGTGTTGAGAAGGGGTGAGGAGAGAGGTAGAGAGGTTGGGTGGGATTTTGTTTTTGGGTTTTGTATGGGTCGTGATTTCGTAATCGTATTTGTGTTTGAATTTTTATTCTACTGGGTTTGACTATAAATTTTAAAACCTTCAATGACATCAGTGTAATTTGCGCTTTATTTTATTGACCTTATGTTCAATAATTGAACATATCAATCATGTATTACAGATTTCGTTTGAAATTAAACTTTCTCGTATGGAAGTATTCGAAAAAAATGGTAAACATAATAGTCAAACAAACAAAGCAGACAATAAGTCCCATCCTAACTAGCTAGTAGACAACTTTGATGCTTATTCCATATGATCTATAAACAGCTTTATTAATACTAAACGATACTTCTTAAGATGGTCTCAAATACGTTATTAAGAGCTGTCTAATTAACCCAAATCCACTCATCCCAATTGATTAGTATATTGGAAACAAGATTTTTATAGCAAAGGTAGAAGGCAGGCCCTAGTGCATCGGTGAGATTGTTTTATGACTTTTGTGATTTAGATGTCACGGGCTCAAATTGCCGAAACAACTTAACAACTTATCTATGTACGGGTTAAGGTTGTGCCCTTCCTAGATTTCACAGTGACAAGTGTTTATGTAGTGGGTTGACTTTTTCTCTCTTTGCTGCCTAAGATAGCATTCGGTTTTTGGAAACAGAGCTTTCAAGGTCACAAGGGATATGCATATCCGTAAAACATACGAACCCTCGACCTACACTTATCAAGTGATTGAGCTGCCACTAAATTAACCCCGAGATCTAGCATTCTTAGCTCTACCCAACATTATCAAACACACTGCATATAACACATACGTGTGTGTAGTAGATGAGATATACCGCAAGATAGATTGCAGATGCAATCACGAACGTCCAATAGCGTCCTAGATGAGCGTCAGCAACGTATGCACCCAAGAGTGGAGTAACCCAAACCGTGCCAACCCAGTTGGTGACATTGTTGGATGACTTGACAGTGCCCTGATGGAGTTTCTTGGTTAGGTAAATGACCAAGTTTGATGATATACCATAGTAGGCCATGCGTTCAAACACCTCATACACTGCACCACCCAAGTCAACAAAATGGTTATGAAATGATTATCTGCACGAATAATATTTAAGTGCAAGCTGGTTGGAGAGTAGCTGTGACATAAAATATGCAATGCAGAGTAGTATCCGTTACGACTGTTAAACAATTTGAGTAGATCGAGTTCGGTTTGGATTGATTTAGTTTAAGTTTGTTTAGACTCGTTTTAAATTGCAAAATGATAATCTGAATTTATCAAAAATTTGAGAAATTGGGGGGAGGGGGTGATTAGGATAATACCAGGCTTTAAGATTGACAATGCCATATTCATTTGGAGCACCTTAAAGAAAGGTAAAGAAATACTATGTATTCCAAATTTTTATCTCAAATGAAGGGGATTATTGGATGAGTGGATCCCATTAACTTTTTCAAATGGGATCCACGGATTCAATGGTCCCTTGATTTGAGATAGAAATTTGAGTTACAAATTTGGCATACATAACATTGTTCCAGCGGTTTTGCATATTCTTTGTGTCGTGTGTGTGTGATCACTCATTCAAGCTACATGTATCAATAAAGAACTCAAGCCCAGATTTTGTTGCAACTCGAAGAATTAAGGTATTTCATGAATAATAAATTTTCCCTGACTTGACTTCAAAGGATTGTCAAATTCATGACGTCTGTATTTAGTAATTATCACTTGTATGTTCTGTAATCATGTTCAAACCACTTAAATCAATTATCCCTTAAGAAATCTCATATTTGTATTACTTCTACGGTTTCATAAATATACTGATTTTTAATTCTATTATTTCTCATTTTACTACCCATGTATCTTAATGTCCTCATTTCTGCCATCCTTAGTCTTGTAAGTGCGATTGTTTCTTAATTATCCAATATATACCATAAAACATTGCTGCTGGACTAATTGCCCAACAAAGTCATCAGTGCAAAAGAAGACTCTACGGGTTCAACCCATCTAAAGGATAGATCCATCATCTATTCTCTGAACACCTACTGAACTCCCAAAGCAAGAGTCCCAGACTGAAAAGCAAAAAAAGACTAACTTCCAAGGTTCGTGGAGCCACTGTGGATATATACCAGTGACTTCTAAACCATCAGGTGATCACTACAAGCCACAGTGCCCCCAAACCCCCAAAAAACCCACCCACCCACCCACAGAGAGAGAGAGAGAGAGAGAGAGAGAGAGAGAGAGAGAGATACCAACAACAAAGGAACAAGCAGTCCATCCACCTCTCTTGGATCTAAGGACAGGGTTCCCTTTGAGATCCACAGTCCCATCTTGTGTGTAGTCATCAGGTCCTTTTTCTTCTACAGCCATGATGATTTTGCTGCACCACAACCTTTTCTACTTGGTTCGGAGAGAACTTTGGTTGGTTCCTTTTCTTTAACCCCGCCCATTTATAGAACTCACCTTCTTTTCCCACTATCTACTCATGATAACAAGTCAACCAACAAGCCTTACTTAAATTTTCAACGGCAACCGATGCGCAAATAAAAAAAATGTAAAAAGCAAAAAAAAAGAAAGAAAGATAAATTAGATATTAAATGAAGGGACGTACCAATACAAGTTGTGCATTAAAGTACAAAAATATCTTCTTCAACTTGTGTAATGATAGAATTGACCATTTATTACTTTGTTCGTGGTCTAAATATTATTTGTAAGAACTGGTCACTTTGTGGTCCAAAGTCAGTGGCGGATTTAGTATGGGGGAAGTGGGGCAGCTCCTCCCACTGAAATTTTAAAAAATTTTGAGACTTAGGTGTAATATTAAAAATTTCAAGAATTTCGTCAACTTGTTTTTACTGAAATTTTCTTAAAATATAGGGTATATTAATATAATTTTCAACCCTTTTGGTAGCTCCTTCTCATTTTTCACGTTTGACAGTTGGCTCCATTGAAATTTTAAAAAATTGAGACCTAAGTGTAATTTTAAAAATTTCAAGAATTTCTTAAATTTACTCCACTAAAATTTTCTTAAAGTACATGATATATTAATATAATTTTAAACCCTTAAAAACTAACTTTTGGCAGCTCCTTTTCACGCCTGCTTTTTTTTTCGTAAGCCTTCATCTTCTTCGTCCAGACTTCTAATCCAGTCCAGGCGTCCAGCTAGCAGTCCCTCTTCTTTCTTTTATTTACTTTCTTTATTATTTCCTTTGGTGTATTCATCAACAAATCACCCATATTGAATTCAATCATTGAACAAATCAAATTTGAAGAAACCCTAAAAGATTATGTTGAAGCTAAGAAGAGGTAATCAATTAACCAAATTTTTTGATAGTAGTATTAGCACTAATCTAAAATTAAATTTTTTATATTAGAAAATTAGTTTAACTCTTGTAGAATTGATGGTTGTTTGGTCACTTTGGTGTATTATTTATGGACTTATGTAGGTTTTTTTTTTGTTTCATTTTGGGTCACCACTCAAGTATTTCGAATTTTTGTTAAAGCCCTGTTCAAATTGGTTATTTAAGATTCTTGGTTAGTGCTATTTTTCTTCCCTATGATTAAATTGTTTTAATTGATTTCTTGAAATTCTAGTTAGGATTATATTTTGGATTTATAGATTATATTTTGATTATGTGTAGTCCATTATCTCATTTGTTACGAACTTAATGACGAACTCTTAAACTTGAATTTAATTAGACAAATTTATTTAATCAACTATGAATAGGTTGCACCCACTGAGACAAAATCCTAGCTCCGCCCCTGTCCATAGTATAGTGGAAAAAATAAGTATGCCTCGCCATTTTGAAATGTAGACCTGACCAAAATAAGATGGCTTGCTGGGCCACGTATTTTTTGTTTTCTCTCTTATATCTAATGCATGATTACTTACCTAGCAATGGGAAACTCTCTCTCTCAATGTATATAATATATGTCAACTATTAATTCTGATTTAAGATGGTGAAGATATTCAACTATGAAAAATTATAAGAAAGAAAAGAAGAAGATTAAAAACGCATTTTTCAAGTACTAAATGAAGGAATTTACTTAAAATCCACACTGGGCATCACATCCCCTGTTAAAGGTGCCATAAGTTTATTTTGTCCAGCCATTTTGATTGGACATAAGGTTTCCGAAACCTATATATATCAAAGTGGCTCCGAAAAAGTCAAGCTGGACCCGCCTTTATATCGATCCTAATGATCCAAGTACTTTGCTATGATCCCATCTACATCAAAGGGTAAACTATGATTATGACTCTCTCTATATATATAATATATGTATGTGTGTGCGAGCGTGTTTCAAATTTTTTGTATCTATCAACATTGAATTATTGAATATCTGTGTATCATCTAGAAGGTGGTAAAACCAGGGTGGATTAAGCAGAAGGTTAATAAGCAATCAAAGTAGAAAATTACACAACAATTGTATAATATAGCTAGCTCTCCAAACACATCAAATCTCCATATAACTTAACAATAGACTTTTGTTTCCTTTTGCACGGGAGAATTCCTACAACAGTTTGAGATAATGATCTTTTGACTGGAGAACCTGCAATAACCATAGCGTCAGAAAAAGGGCTGAACACCCGGCTTATCCCTTCCGAAGCTTAAGTCAGTATCAGATTAAAGGCTTGAGCACAATATATTATGTATCTTGATTCAAGGTTGCGTACCATTGTTCACTTTTCTGAGCAGTATTTATACTTGGATTAGTAATGAGTGCAAAGGTCTCCAGTTTCATCTGAACATTCAATGCCTGACACTTTTACCCATGAAGATTTGAGCACTCTCCACCCAGATCTTCACATATTTAATGTGAGGATGATAGGATAAGTGCTCGGTGACACGCCGAGCATTTATGGCTATTCCCGAGCACTCAAGTGTCTTTGATCGGCGCCTAACGCCAACTACTGAGCATTAAATGCTCGGAGGAACAGTTTCCCAATGTACACCGAGGAGGCATACTTGGCGTTGTAGCCATTAATGTCTAGCCATCATGACTGCAGGCTTAAGCTTTTGAGGGTGCAAAGACTCATTAATGACACTATCTCTGTCATTTACATCGCCATAAATGAGTGGTTAAGTCGTACTAAATGTGGGTGTCATCTTGTGTACTCGGCTCTTCCGAGCCATCATCTCTCGACTCCATTCCTTGGCGTCCTTTGGGCCTCATAACGGCTACAATTTTACACGTGTCAATCAAGGGGTTGCTGTGCCGCCTAGAGTCCCGCCACCTACCCCCCAGCTTTCATTCTTTTTGCAGCATGGGATAGGTGGTGCAAGGAGATTAGAGACTTACCAAACACGCCTCATTAATATAAACGGTTACTTGCACATCCGGCGTCGCCCTTTTCAAATCCCCTAATGATAACTTGCCTTTTCAATTCCCCCCCCCCAGGAGGGTATAAATAGGAGATGGTTGAGTCATTTCAGAACTTTGCAACTCTGAACCTCCTTTTAGCGATCAACTCTCAAGCGTTCGTCGTCCATCTCCCGAGCACTCTTCTGTTATTCTTTGAGTTCCCTCTTTGAAGATCCTTTATCGGTAAGCACTTCCTTCCTTTCGAATCCGTTTCTCATTTCTTCTATTCTTCTCTTTAGAACCCACCAATGGCTAGAACTCGTAGGACAGTCGAGGGAGCACCCTCCAGGGCTAGGGTCAACTGTAAACTGAAGAGGACTAAGGTGACTGATGAAAAAATCCAAGCCTTTAGGGTTAGATACCATATCCCTGAGCCTGTCTTCACCTTTCCTTTCGATCCCAAGTTCCATAGGAAAGACATAGGGAGCGAAGAGATGATGCCCTTTTACACCAAAGCCATCATGGAAGGGGGAGTCACATTCCCCCTCCATCCTCTCCTTCTTAGGATGTTAATGCAGAATTTTCCCCCTCCAGTATGGGGTTAACTTCTTTAGGATAGTTATGGGCGTAGTCGCCCTCAATGCTCGGCTCGGGGTGGACCTGGGGGTAGATGAGATCCTGTTTTGCTAAGACTTAAGGTTAGTCGCCGGGGGCAGGTATTACCTCCAGACTCAGGACACATCCATATACCTGGTCACCCACATGCTAGACTCGAACAAGGGGTATGTTGACGATCTGGTCATGCTTGACGGTAATTGGGGGAAAGGAGATGAACCCGAGTATGACAGATTATACTGTCCCAAAGTGTCGAGGGATGAAAGTGTGTACTGCACATATCCTGAGTTTGTTCGGCATCTTGTTGGCGTGGCTAATCTTGTTTGTTTATTTTGCATAGGGACATCAGCAAGACACTACTCAACCTCTAAGGTCCCAAGTCAGATTTGTAGACTTGTTGAGAGTTTAGTCCCATGACCCAGTCGAGCGAGCGACACGTACTCCTTGGCTACGTGCCAACCTACAACAGATTCTCTCAAATCCTCTTACGATCCTTCTGTGTGGGAGGATCATTCTTCATCGGAGGAAGAGGAAGAAGACCTTGAGGCCGACCCCGATCGGGACTCCGAGCACACCCCTTCCTCATCCGAGCACATAGTCCCCTCGAAGAAATGTTGAATCCACCACCAATTATAGTCGCAAGCATGGAGGCTACCGCTGTAGTGAGGAGAGCCAGGCTCTCGGGGCTTGCCGGGCCTTCAAATATTGCCCCGATCATCCCGTCGCTGGCTTCACCATGGAGGCAACCACCCTCTCTGTCGCCGCGTCCTTAACTGTCAGGGGACCCTGTTATCCCACCAAGGGACCACCCCCGAGCCGCCAAGTCCCTCTCTCGGGCAATTGGTAGAGGGACCAAAAAGGCCGAGAGCCCGAGGGGTCTGAAGAACGTCAACAGAAGCGCTGACTTGATGTCTCGGGCCCAGTCACCTCTATCGAATGGGCTCCCTGGGCAGAAACTAGGAGGGGCCGCCCTGTGTTGGGGTTGGATTCGATCCTTCAGTCCCCAGACGTTGCATTTGCCGTCTCGGGGACTTTCCAATTTGAGGCCGACATGGCCATTTACCTAGGCTATGAGGACAACCGGCTTCTCCAAAGCACCATTCAAAGCAACATGGTGGTGAGTGCGCTGTCTACCCCCAACTTCTTTTTGCTTTGCCTAATTGGCCATTTCTAACTAAGTTTTTTTTTCCATTTTCAGTCCTGCCAACAGATGGGGGCCATCGTCAAACATTTTCGGGAGTACAAGCAAGCGGCAAGGAACGCCGACGGAGCCCTAACTGCCAATGATGAACACATCAAAGGGGTGGAGAGGACGCTCGCCGACCAGAGCCAGCACATCACCGAGCTCATCCACCAGCATGACGCTCTTGCTGCTGACGTTAAGAAGGCGAAGGCGGGTGAGGCCGAGGCCATCAAGAAGGTCGAGGAGTACAAGCTTTAGGTGTCCATCG